TATACCTAGAACCCTAGACTGTCTTCTATTTCTTCAGTATCTCCCCTCTCCCATCATTTTCCCTAAAAAAAAAAAAATGACATTTGAATGTTTTACTTATAAAGTCCATCCTCCTTTATAAAACAGACTACAGAGTTTACCTGGCTACAATTTACCTTCAGCTTCTCTACAGACCTTTAATTCTATCCACAGTAGACTTCCTCAACCAAGTTGGGAGTTTTCCTGCATGCTATTCCCTTTTTACCTATAAATGTACTTCTCTGCCTTACAAATTCCACCAAAGCCCAACTCAAATGACTTAATCTTTAGTTCTCCCTAACGTCTCCAGGCAGAGTTACTTGCTCCTCTCTACATAAAAGCCCAGGTGTGGTCAAAACACTCAATCCTGCTAAACCAATTATCTCATGCTATTGCATTACAGTTACAAGGTCTTGTTAAACTGAGGTGAATGTGGTAAATGTTTCCAATTCTGGCAGCAACATAAAAATAGGTATTAACACCCCAGTATGATTCTGATGGGGCAGTCTACTTCTGTAGTGATACTGCTTCGGAAACCCAAGGAGGGGTTGCCATGAGTCGGGTCCAACTTGATGGCACCTAACAACAACAACAACATGATTAAACAACGTTGTTGTTAGGTGCCGTCGAGTTGCTCCCTACTGATTAAACAACATACGAGAAGAAATTCTAGGGTGGCTGTTAAATGTTATGAATTTATAGCTGGACTGACGGAAAGGTCTTTTGAGGGAGAACTTGGCTTGTAGCCTTTCAATTCTGGCCCCACAATCAGGTTTTTTTTTTTTTTTTTTTTTTTGCAAGTAATATATCTACCTGGACTTTCTTTAAATAAACCATAAAACCTTATATATGAAATTGATTTAACATTCTAAGATTTCAGTCATTTAATCAAATGAAGTTTATTGCTTTGCTGTATTATTGAAGATCCGGAAGGAGGATGGGGCAATCTACTTCCATAGTGAAACTGCCTTGGAAATCCATGGAGGGGTCGCTATGAGTCGGTCCGACTGGACGGCACATAACAACAACAACAACAACATGTATATCCTTTGTATAAATTTGGCTTCGAATTGAAACTTCTAAAATTTTCTTTTTTAGAAATTTGAAATAAAGTTTAGAAAACCATCTTTTTCTTTCCATTCCCACAGTCACTAACCATCACTCACCCTAAAATTCTGCAGTACTCTTAGGTATGGTATCCCTGCCTCTCCTATATTTGCTTTCTTCCAATGAGTTCCACACAGAAACCAAAATGATTTTTTAAAAATCTGAAACTGATTATGTCATTTCCTGCTTAAAATGCTTTAATGATTTGCTTTTGCCTTAAAGTCCAAGCTCCTATTGCAGCCTTCAAAGTGACCTTTTTGATCTGTCCCCAGCTTATCTATGTAGCTTTATAGTCCCTTACTACCCCCTCACCACCCATTTTCTAACTTCTGACTTTTCCTCTCTTGAAAAGGCTGCCCTCCCTAGTCTCTGCCTTTGGACATCTGTGTGTTTAGAATAGTCTTCCATGCTTTTTTTTTTTTTTTCCCTCTAGCTAACTTCCTCAAGTCTCTCCTTAAGAGTCACTTCCTCCAGGAAGCCTGCCCTGATGTCCCAGTTTGTTAGCTGCCAGTCCAATTCAGTCCACAGGCTCTCCTGGCAAGGCACAGAGAACTGCTTCTGTGCTTTCTACTAACCCTCAGACCACCCTTGTCACTTCAGAATTAATGCTCATTTTAACCTGTACCACAATATTGAGAGAGGTGGGAACTCTACAATATAATATGGTTTTACCATACCATACCAAGGGGTTCTGGTGGCACAGGGCCTAAGACATTTGACTGTATACAAAGAAGGTTGGCGGTTCAAACCCACCAGCTGCTCTGCAGAAGGAGGATGAGGCAATCTATTTCTGTAAAGATTTACTGCCTTGGAAACCCAATGGGAGTCGCTATGAATTGGAATTGACTTCATAGCAGTGGGTTTGGTTTTTGGGTGTTACCATATCATACTAGTTGCTATCAAGTTGATTCAAGACTCATGTTTCAGTAGAACTGTGCCCTGTAGGGTTTTCAAATGATTGATTTTTCAGAAGTAGATCACCAGGCCTTCCTTCGAAGGCATCTCTGAGTATACTTGAACTTCCAGCCTTCTGGTTAGCCACTGATCACATTGGTTGATCTAAACCTGCCTTCTTCTTGTGGTTATGTGCCGTCGAGTCAGACCGACTATAGCGACCCCTCCTTGGGTTTCCAAGGCGGTATCGCTATAGAAGTAGATTGCCCAGCCTTCCTTCCAAGGAGTGACTGGTGGGTTTGAACCGCCAGCCTTCTGGTTAGCAGTCAGGTGCCTTAGGCACTAAGCTACCAGAGCTCCCTTAGGTTATTTAGCATCTGTTAATCTTGGCTTACAGGGAGTTCGGGTAGCATAGTGGCTAAGGCACTTGACTGCTAACCAGAAGGCTGGCGGTTCAAACCCACCAGCCACTCCTCGGAAGGAAGGTTGGGCAATCCTACTTCCGTAAGGAGGGGTCGCTATGAGTCGGGGCCGACTCGAGGGCACATAACAACAACAACAAGGGTCAGGGGGAGGAGGGGGATTGATATGCCCTACCTCCCGAAGTAAGACTTCCTTTGGAAACCAGCTGTGATGTTTTGAAAAGTTCTTAATGTTAAACCTAAATCTGCTTTTGTAACTTTGCCTGTCTTCTTTTGCCTTCTGAAACAAGACTATTTAACCCTTATGGAGAATGGCTTTTTGGAATGCTAGAAGTCTCTTGACACTCCTCTATCTTCTTTGAAGATGTGACCTCAGTGATAGGGTTAATTTCTGGAACCATGAGCACCTGTTGTTGCTTTTGATAAATTTCATCTCCCTGGCCTAATAAATTTGGAACTTAATCTGCTCTTCATTTGAGTGTGTTTGTGTATATCTGTGCATTGTCCGCTTTTCTCATTAGTTTGTAGGTCAACAAAAACTGCAATCCTTTTCTATGATAGCCCCACTAACTCTAAATTTGGTTATTATTCACTAATGTTAGTTGGTTTCAGCTTTGATATCCAAAATGGTTTCAGGTATATTGCCGTCTTTTTCCTCGAGATAAAGTGTTATCAGTATTGCTTTTTATATTTGGTGTCCATATGATACTGCATTACTGCCCTCCCTTATCTTTAAAAGAAAAACTGATGATTTGAGTTCTTTTAAGTTTGAAAAAAGTTTAGAATTAATTTGAAATTACTAGAGTAGCCACTCCTTGGAAGGAAGACCAGGCAATCTACTTCCGTAGTGATGCTGCCTCAAACCCAAGGAGGGGTTGCTATGAGTCAGATTCGACTCACGGCAGTTTGGTTTGGTTTAGAGTTACTTAGAATATAATGTTTTAACAAGCCAATGTAAATCTCTTTTAGGGCAGTTATATGATGGCTATGATGAAGAGTATGATTGTCCCATTTTAGATGAAGATAGAGTAAGTACAATGTTCTAATAAAGTATATATTTGTTGAATTTGTTAACTGCTACCAAGTTGGCCCCTGACTTATGCCACAGAACGAAATGCTGCCTGGTCCTGTACTGTCCCCCATGATCAGCTGCAGATCCAACTGTTGTGATCCATAATGGATCTCCAGGCCTTTCTTCCAAGTCTGTCTGAATCTGGAAGCTCTTCTGAAGCCTATTCAGCACTACATCAGCACAAAAGCACCACTGACAGACAGGTGCACTGGCTGGGAATTAATCCCAGGTTTCCTGTATGGAAGTTGAGAATTCTACCACAAAACCACCAATGCCTTATTTTACTGAAATTTAATTGGAAGGTTAATCTCAGTTTTCTTATGGAGCATTCATCTGGGTTTTTTGTTGTTGTTATTTTAACCTTTCTTTCAGGTAGTTGATGAGTTAGAAAACCAAATGAAAGAAGGCGGAGTTATCATTGATTACCATGGTTGTGATTTCTTCCCTGAACGCTGGTTTCATATAGTTTTTGTGTTGAGAACAGATAACAGTGTATTGTACAAAAGACTTGAAACAAGGTAAGTGTTTTGCCTACTGTTCTGGTTACCTAGTGCTGCTCTGACAAGAATATATCACAAATGGGATGGCCTTAACAAACAGGAGTTTAGTCTCTTATTTTGGAGGCTTTAAGTCCAAGTTCAAAGTACCAGGCTCTAGGGCCTGGGTGAAAGCCTCTCAACCTTGGGGTCCAGCTCTGCCTCTTGCTCCTGGCCCACTGGAGCTAGAGGCGTTTATTTACTCAAACAGCTGCTGGCTGTTGAGGCTGAGAAGCCCCACGGTTGACAAGTAAAAAGGCACAGTCCTGATGTTACCAAACCACAGGGCAGGCCATTAACTTAAGTCCATTGTAAGTCCCCAGGTCGACAGAGCATAGCAGGCTGCTGAGCAAATGACAGGGCTAAAAGCAGGGTCCAAAAGTGCCATAGGCTAGAGATCATTCCCAAAGCTGCTGGTTATATATGGGAAGCAGACTACATACCCAAAGGTAGCTACTCAGCTGCTCACAATAGATTCC